AAAAAAAAAAAAAAAGATTAAAGGTAGATCCAACACCCTTAGTCCTGTCACAGCCTTGATCTAAGGGGAACTTCCCTGGGGTGTAGCCTGCAGCACCTTTTATCTTACAAGAGATAAAAGGAGGGAGAAGTGAGCAGAGAAAGGGGACCCTGTACCACCAAGAAAGAGGTGGCAGGAGCAGAGTACGTCCTTTGGACCCAGGGTCCCTGCACCGGGATCTTCCTAAGAACAAGAGACACAGAGAGAGGAAGGCTTCCCCGAGAGCTGGCATCTGCACTCAGACTTCCAGCCTCCTAAACTGTGAGAGAATAAACTTTTGTCTGTTAAAACAAAACAAAACCAAAAAAGATACTCAGTTTTATAGTATTACCAAGTAAACAAGCCACAAACACTCTACCATTGCAAAATAGTGATTACAACAATCACAAACAAGAAATAGAAAAGTAGGAAGGTTTTTGTTTAAAAGGGGCTTTATTTTTTACAAAAGAAATCAGTCTATCAACTTTACATTTAGAGGAACAAACGTTAATGATCTTCTCAGCATCATATAAACTCAGCATTCAGATATTGAGATTTGTGATTTAACTCATCTAAGAAGCCCCACCTAAATAGAGGAGTACCAAGGGTAATTTTAAAGAACACTACAATGATTATATCATTTAATTCTGAATTCTACAGCTTACATAGGAGCCCTGGTGGCACAGTGGTGATGTTCCGCAGCTAACCAAAAGGTTCATAGTTTGAACCCACTAGTGGGTCCACAAAAAAAAAGAATGGCAATCAGCTCCTGTAAAGAGTAAACCAAAAAAAAAAAAAAAAACAACTCACTGCTATCCAGTCAATTAGGACTCATAGTAACCCCCACTGGGTTTTCAAGGCTGTCAATCTTTATGGAAGCAGACTGCCTGAACTTTCTTCCAAGGAGCAGTTGGTGGATTTGAACTTTTGGTTAGCTGCCAAATGCCTTAACCACTACACCACCAGAGCGCCTTCCTGTAGAGCGTATAGCCCAGAAAACCCTGTGGGGCAGCTCTGTACTACTGGGTCACTATGAGTCAGAATCGACTCAGCGGCAAAGGGGCATGGCTTACATATACATGAGGATTTGATAAGCCAATGGATCTGTAAGACTTACACATGCATTTTGAAACAGTCTAGTTCTTTTTTTCTTCCAAATTCCACCTTCTAAAAAGATTGGAGATAAATGGGAAAGTGAAAACTGGTGGCAGGATAAGCATTAGTGGTGACATGCTCAGCATTATTTCCTACTTTAACGCAAACCAGCGGTCCTGAGAGACCCTGGAATCTCCACACCACCAACAAACGATTTGTAGAAAGTGTGTCAGGAATACGTTCAGCAGGTAACTGGACTTGGATAGAAACTATCTGGTACACTCTGCTCTTTCAATTTCCCAGAAATTTACACAACCATCTGCCATCCTTGATTATTTGAGGATGGATTAATCACTGTTTTATCTACAGCAGATTTCAAACCCTAGACGAGATCCTTGTCATCTGATTCTTTCCAGGCCCCCATAAGAAAGTTATCAATTAATATTCAGGATTTATAAATTCATTTCATATTAACTTTTCTCCCCCCCCCTTTTTGTTTTTTAACTTTTTGCTGTGATTTGGACGAAATTTTACATATCAGATCTGTTTTCCACTTGACAGTTGACCTTTAGTTTCATGACTGACTGCAATACCCAAAATGTAACAGCTCTCTTTCCACTTCCTCTCTATGGTTACCCTTTCCCTAAAAATATGGAGTGCTTCACAAATTTGCCCGTCATCTTTGTGCAAGGAGCCCGGTAATCTCTGCATCGTTCCAATGTTAGTATATGTGCTACCAGAGCAAGCATTCATATTAACTTAATGAATTTAATTAGAGAGGAAGTGCAATGGAAAGAAAATGATCACATTTTCCCCAAAAGGCAAGTAAGAATTTACTTTCTATATTAGCTAAACCCACTGATGCTTTAGGCCATCTTTATTGCAAACCTTGTGGGAGCTCAGGTGGCATAGCGGATAAGGCAGTTGACTGCTAACCAGAAGGTCAGCAATTCAAACCCACCAGAGGCTCTGTGGAAGGAAGACTGGGCGATCTACTTCCATAAAGATTTACAGCCTTGGAAACCCAATGGGGGTCGCTATGAGTCGGAAATGACTCGATGGCAGTGAGTTTGGTTTTTTTGGTGTACTGCTTGACCATCAAGATTTAGGCAAAGTATTTTCATGGAACAAGGAAACAATAAGGCACTAAGAACACAGAAAGAACCTGCAGTGTAGTAAATTACTTAGTGTGGCTTTTCTACCTATAAGTCTTTGTAAACTCCAAGGTGGGATTTTCTATGAGCAACTGAGGAGCTCCTGATTGCTGAAGCTATCCACCTGGGTTATTTCTGTTGGGCGTGGCACAATACAATGTTCTGGGAGGTTCCCACTCTCTCTCACGTGCTTAGAGTTCAGATGCTGTGATTGGCTAGTTTGACCACCCTTCTGGGCTCAAAAGGTGGCCTCCTGGAGGCAGAACTCTCTCTGACTGAGGAAGACATGCTGCTGAAAGAGACATGTGCCCCAGAAAGAGACGCAAGAGACACACGTTGCTGAGTGAGACACCGAGGGACCAGCACTCCTGGGAAAGAGACTGTGAGAGACTGTTGGCTGAGGGACGGTGGGCTGGGAGAGAGACTGAGCATTTTTCCTGGACTTGAATTGTAGCCTGTGGTGCTTCCCTAATAAACCCCATAATCTGTGAGCTCTGTGTTGCCAATGCAGTGAATTATTGAATCCAGAAGAGAGGTGGTGGGTGCTGTGGGAGAAATGGTTGGAGAAAGGGCTGAAGGGAGGCAGCATGTCTGGCCTGGCAGGAATAGGCCTTGGGTTATTGCTGGTAATCCTGTCTTCCTCTTGTAGGGTTAGAGGAGGTCAGAAGATTTGGCCTCCTTGCCCTTTTTGTAGAACCTGTTTAGCACATTTCATACTCCAAGACTATTTACCAAAACACAAAAAACAAAGCTCTAGACAAAACACACAGGGAAAAGGAAAAAGAGAACCTCTACCTGCTGATGAGTAATTTTAACTAATATTACTTGAAAGTATAAATCATTGACATCAAATGCTGAAAAAAGGAAAAAAAAAAAATTGGCCACTAGGGTATTATAGCTTCAATACAATAGAATTTTTCAGAAAAAAGAAAAAGTGTAACAAAGATTAAAAAATCTGATCTTTTACTCAAAATTTAAATGTGATGTACATATTTATTCAACATTCAGATCTATGTAACATTCACCATTCACAAGCTACCACTTAAAAAAATAAAACACCATGAATGTTCCATGGAGAATGGCATTTTTCCCCTCTATTACTCTACCTGCTTTCTACAGTCACTTCCATCCAGTGCATACAAGAAACTGGAGCCTCCACAGAAAAAGAGTGTAAGCTTTCAGGTTTTTCAACATCACACAAAACAATTTTCTTGGTGTCAGAAAGAGCAAAGGCCAAAACTGAAACAAGATAAGAAAAAAACAATCAGAACAGGTTAGTGTAACATTTGAAAACTTACATGTTGCAGTTTTAGTACTTTAAACTCAATCACAGAAATTACTTGACCTAAAAATGTTTCCTTTACGCAATACTTTAAAAACAAAATAGATATTTGCATACAGTTGTACTTTACACTAGGTTGCCTATAAAACTCTACGAGGCAGTTCTACCCTGTCACATGGGGTAGGTATGAGTCAAAATTAACTTGATGGCAAACAATACCAAACTTTTATCAAAGTTTATTTTCAACTGCTCAAACTGTCATCAACCATCTACCACCTTCACATGTACTGTACTTTATCATCTTGTCTCTAGATTAGAACCCTGTCAAGCAAAAAATACAGAGCAGCTCTCAATAGATATGCAGTAATATTTTATCACCAAGACCTAACACAGTGACCTTAGCTGTCTACCTGATTTCAACTTACAACAACCCTTCAGGGCAGAGCAGAACTGCCCCACAGGGTTTCCACATTGTCTCATGTACTTTGGACATGTTCTCAGTAGGGACCAGTCCCTGAAGGAGGACAGCATGGTCTCACACATGACAACGATGACAAGGATGGTACAGGACCAGGCGGAGTTTCGTTCCAAGTCTCACCATCCTCCCTTTAAAGGGGCACTGTGGCTGTACTTCTTCCAAAACAGATCTCTTTATTCTTCTGGCACATACCACAGCAGTCCATGTATATGAGGCAACTGAAAATATCACACTCTGGCTCAGATACATCTTAGTCCTCAAAGTGGTATCTTCACTTTTCAACATTTTAAAGAGGTCTTTTGAGGTAGATCTGCCCAATGAAATATGTTGTTTGATTTCTTGACTGCTGCTTGGGCATTGATTGTGGATCCAAGAAAAATGAAATCTTTAACAATTTCAATCTTTTCTCCATTAATCATGATACTGTTTATTGGCCCATTTGTGAGAATTTTTGTTTTCCATATGTTGAGGTATATAATCCATATTGAAGACTGTAGTCTTTGATTTTCGTAAGTAAGGGCTTCAAGTCTTCTTCAGTTTCAGCAAGCAAGGCTGTGGTCATTTGCATATAGAAAGTTGTTTAATGAGTTTTCCTCCAACCTCGAACCCACATTCTTCTTCACTAAGTCCAACTTGATATAGTCCAGCTTCTTGGATTATTTATTCAGTATATAAATTGAGTAAGTGTGGTAAAAGGATACAACCCTTCCTAATTTTAAACCATGCAGTATCTTCTCATTCTGTTCGAATGACAGCCTCTTGGTCTATGTACAGGTTCCTTATGAGCACAATTAAGTATTCTGGAATTACCATTCTTCGCAGTGGTATACATAATTTGTTGTGATCCATACAGTCATTAAATACACGCAAACATCTTTCTGGTATTCTCTGTTTTCATCCAAGATCGATCAGACATCAGGAGTGGTATTCTTCATTCTACATCCTCTTCTGAATCTGGCTTGAATTTCTGGCAGTTCCCTGTTGAGACAGTGCTGTGATCATTTTTTATCTATCTCCAGCAAAATTTTACTTGTGTGTGATATTAATCATATTTTTTTTTTATTTATAAAAATACAGAGTATTCTGTTGGATCGCATTTCTTTGGAATGGGCACAAATACAGATCTTTTCCAGTCAGGTGGCCAGGTAGCTGTCTTCCAAATTTCTTGGCATAAACGAGCGTGCATTTCCAGCACTGCATCTATTTGTTGAAATATCTCAAGGGGTAGTCCATCAACTCCTGGAGCTTTGTTCTTCACCAATTCCTTCAGTACAGCTTGGATTTCTTTCTTCAATACCATCAGTTCTCAATCATATGTTATCTCCTGAAACAGCTGAACGTCAACCAGTTTTTTGCGACAATGACTTCCTTCCACCCTCTTTCAGTGCTGCCTGCATCATTTAACATTTTGCCCATAGATTCCTTCAATGCTGCAAATAGAGGCTTGAATTTTCTCCAGTTCTTTCCATACAAGAAATATTAAGTGTGTTCTTCCCTTTTTGTTTTCTAACTCCAGGTTTCCGCATATTTTATTGTTAAGACTTTTCTTGAGCTGTCTTTTGAAATCTTCTGTTCAGCTTTTTCATTTCATCATTTCTACCATTCACTTTCCAAACCAAACCAAACCTAACCTACTGCCATCAAGTTGGTTCTGATTTATAGCGATCCCACAGGGTTTCGAAGGCAGTCAATCTTTTTATTTATTTATTATTCATTGTGATTTGGGTGAAGATTTACAGAGCAAATTCACTCTCCACACAGCAGTTCACATATACTTTGTCTCATGTCATTGACCACAGTTTACCACAATGAAACAGCTCCCCTCCCACTTCCTCCCCATAGTTATCTCTTCCCAGTGACCCTCCCTCCATACTCTCCTGTGCCCTGAGCTGTCTCCCTGTACATAAGCAGCCCTTCCTTCTCCCATGATTGTTCTCTCCAGGGCGTGTCCACTTGAGGTAAATGTTTAACTCACATGCCTGTACATTGTTTGGCTGGAAACCACAGGTGTGGGTTCAATTCCAGACCTGAAGGGCAGCTAGGGGCCATAGTCTCAGTGGTTCCACCAGGCTCTATTGGACCAGAAAACCTAGTCCTCACCTTCTTTTTTTTTTTTTCCCCTCCAAACGATTTTGAGTTTTGTTCCACATTGTTCTCCCTCTCTATCAAGGACCTCCTACATCCCTTCCAAGTGGATGACAGTGGTAGCTGGGCACCATCTAGTTCTTCTGGTCTCATAGTTATATAAGTTGCAGATCAGATGGTGTACCAGTCGCTAGGACTGATTGTTTCCATTAATTTTGGTTTTCTTCTTTCTTCTTTGCTCTTGACGAGGAGAGACCCATCGTTGCATCTAGATGGCAGCTTGCTAGCTTTTAAGATCCCAGTCGCTACTCGTCAAAGTAGGAGATGGAATAATGTTTTTTATAGTATGTTATGCTAATTGAGCTTGATGTCCCCTGCCTCTAAGGCAGTCAATCTTTATGGAAGCAGACTGCCTCGTCTTTCTCCTGCAGAGTGGTTGCTGGGTTTGAACTGCCAACCTTTTGGTTTAGCTGAATGTCTTAGCTACAGCACCACAGAGCTCCTTTACCATTCCCTTTAGTGGTTCTCTGTTCAAGATCAATTTTCAGAGTCTCTTCTGACATCCATTTTGGTCTTGTTTTTTCCCTATCCTTTTAATGACCTTTTGCTTTCTTCATGTATGATGTCATCCCACAACTCATCTAGTCTTGTGTCACTAGTGTTCAATGTGTCAAATCTATTATTTAAATGGTCTCTATATTCAAGTGGGATATACTCAAGGTTGTACTTTGGCACTCATGGACTTGTTTTAATTTTCTTCAGATTCAACCTGAACTTGCATATGAGCAATTGATAGTCAGATTCTGGTCTTGTTCTGACCAATGATGATGAGCTGCTCCACCATCTCTTTTGACAGACATAGTCTATTTGATTCCTGCATACTCCATCTGGCAAGGTCCACATGTACAGTCACTGTTGATGCTGTTGAAGAAAGATATTTGCAATGAACATGTCATTGCTCTTATAAAATTCTATCACGCAATTTCCAAAGTCATTCCTATCTCCAAGGCTATACTTCCCAACTACTGATCTTTCTTTGATTCTAACGTTTGCATTCTAATCACCAGTATCACCATTAGTGGTGGGTGTATAAATTTGAATTGTTGTTGCTGTTGTTGTTATGCGCCATCAAGTCAGACCCGACTCATAGCGACCCCTCCTTGGGTTTCCGAGGCAGTATCACTACGGAAGTAGATTGCCCCATCTTTCTTCCAAGGAGTGGCTGGTAGGTTTGAACTGCCAGCCTTCTGGTTAGCAGTCAAGTGCCTTAGGCACTATGCTACCAGAGCTCCCTATAAATTTGAATAGTAATGTTAAATTAGTCTTCCTTGTAGGCATGTGGGTATTGTCCTATCACTGACAACACTGCACCTCAGGGTAGATCCTGAAGTTTTGATAATTCCTCTTCAATTCATCATTCTCAGCATAGTAGACCATACAATTGTCCAATTCAAATGGTCAATACCAGTTCATTTCAGCTCATTAATGCTTAGGATATTAGCCTTTATATGTGTTCCATTTCAGTTTTGATGACTTCCAATTTTTCTAGATTCATACTCTGTACATTCCATATTCTCATTAATGGATATTTGGAGCTGTTTCTTCTCACTCTGAGTCATGCCACATCAGCAAATAAAGGTCCTAAAAGCTACATCCTACCCATATCATTAAGGTCAACTCTATTTTGAGGCAACTCTTCCTCAGTTGTTTTCTGAGTACCTTCCAACCTGAAGGGCTCATCTTCTGGCACTGTATCGGACAATGTTCCACTGTTATTCACAAAGTTTTCACTGGCTAATTTTTTAGAAGTAGATTGCCAGGGCCTTCTTTCTAGTCTGTCTTACTCTGGAAGCTCCACTGAAACCCGTCCACCATGGGTGGTATTCAGCTTCTAGCATCATGGCAACATGCAAGCTACCACAGTGTGACAAACTGGCAGACGAGTAGTATTCTGTGATATATAAATAAAACTATACATTACTATACATTAATGTTGTATATCTACACACACTGACATGAAAAGGGTCAATCACCTAAAAAAACCTAACCAAAGAGCACGCATTGAATGATCTTTTTTTGATACAATTGTATGCATGTATCTTCTCATATACGTATTTTATCAGGAAGGTCTGGAAAGATGTTCACTGAACTAAGAACAGTTGTCATCTCTAAGCGATGGGCTTTCAGGGCACTTTTATTGACTCATTTGTGTGAATCTAGAAAAGAAGTGAAGCAATGAGTACATACCAAAAACAACTCAGCTCTTTCTCTGAAAGCACCAGTGATATAGAGGAATTTTAAACTGTATGGTTTACATTTTACTGTAGAAACTGTATGTGTACAACAATCAAATAAGGGCTGTCACTGTAAAAACAACACACGGGAGAAGAGCAAGTTCAGTCGTTGGAAGAATAACTAGCTACAACAAAAAGGGCAGCAGGAGGAGAGAGAGGACTGCAAGGGCTGGGGTCAGACTGATAGTCCTTCAGGTGACGAAAAGGGACACACACGGCAATGAGTACTTATGCGCCACATATTAAGTGCAAAAATACGTTGGTGGGGAGGGGGAAGATCCCAATGGCACTGAACTGACTGGGGTGCAGCAGGTGTAGGTTGGGCCAAATGGTGCAGGGCAAGACAGCAGAAGGAACAAAACCAAACTTTCTTTTATATTCCATCAGATTTCATTTTCGTTATCTTTGCCAAGAAACAAGATGACAGAATTAATCTGGGTTCCGTGAAAAAATGTAGGCCTTCTAAAGCAAAGTTCCCAAACTGGTATTTAAAATTCTCGTATATAAGAGGAACAATATATTATTTCTGGAAATAAGCTTTCTTTAGACAACTCCTTGGTAATAATATAAATGTATTTTTTATAATATAATCATTACGTTTGCCATCTGGTCTCCACGCCAGACAGGTCACTTCCTTTCCTGTATTTTCATTTGGTGGGAAACTCCAAACCCGGTGAAAACTTGCAAGTCGATGAAGTAAAACCTAGGAAGAAAAAGATATGATGACAGAAAATAAAAAATCAACTTCCAAAAATAAAACTAGATCCCAACTACAAAATCTGTTTTTACATGAGCATTTTACTCTACTATTTAGCTATCTGAAGAATTAAAAGAAACACAGCTGTGTGAATAAACATAAGGTATTTTGAAAGAAATGGGTACGATGAGATCTAATTTAAATCTGGTACCATACACTCTGTCCTACCTGTAATTACAATCAATCGCATTGCCATTGAGTTGGAGCTGACTCATAGTGACCCATCCTTGTGTTTCTGAGGCGGTATCACTACAGAAGTAGATTGCCCAACCTTCCTTCCAAGGTGGGTTTGAACCACCAGCCTTCTGGTTAGCAGTCAAATGCCCTAGGCATTATGCCAACAGAGCCCCCAATTACAGTCAATAGGAGACCTATATTTTAGAAAGGACCAAGTACAGTGTCCGAGAAGAAGACAAAGAAAGAAAGAAAAAACACAAATAGCACTGAAAAGGTGGCTGCAATATATATAGTAAAACCTTTATGGAAGCTTCTACTTGGTCACATGGGGTCTCTATGAGTCAGAATTGACTCAAGAGCACGTAACAATATCATCAAATAACACTAGAGTTGCAATCAGAAAAGTTGGGATGTATTTTAAGCTATGCCACTTAGCCATGGATCTTAGACAAGTCACTTCTCCGTACCACTTGCAGTTGAATCAATTCCAACTCATGGTGACCCATGTGTATCAGAGTAGGACTGTGCAGGATTTTCAGTGGCTGATTTTCTGGAAGTAGACTGTAACCTCCATCCTCTCTGGTAGCAGCTGAGCATGTTAGGTGTTGGCACTACCCAGGGACAGACAAGTCACTTGTTATTAGGTGTCGTCGAGTCAATTCTGACTCGCAGCAACCCTATGTGCAATAGAACGAAACATTGCCCAGTCCTGCACCATCCTCACAATCCTTGCCACACCTGAGCAGCCACTATTTCAATCCATCTTGTTGAGGGGCTTCCCCTTTTTTGCTGACCCTCCATTTTACCAAGCATGACATCCTTCTCCAGAGAATGGTCCCTTCTGACAACAAGACCAAAGTAGGTCAAACAAAGTCTGGCCATTCTCGCTTCCAAGGAGCATTCCAGCTGCACTTCTTCCAGGATAGATTTGTTCGTTCTTCTGGCAGTCCATGGTTGTTTTGGTTATCTAGTGCTGCTCTAACAGAAATATCACAAGTAGATGGTTTTAATGAACAGGGATTTATTCTCTTACAGTTTAGAAGGCTAGAAGTCCAAGTTCAAAGTGCCAGCTTTAGGGGCTAGGTCAAGGCCCCCCGACCTTGGGCTTCAGATCTGTCTCTTAATCCCAGCCCACTGAAGCTGGAGGCTTCTCTTAACTCAGGCAGCTGCTATCTGCTGAGGCTGAAAAACCCAAGGTCAACAAGTAAAATGGCACAGTCCCGAGATTATCAAGCAACAGGGCAGGACACCAGTTCAAGGCCAGAAACAGTCTCACGATCGGCAGACCATGTGGCAGGGAACTGAGATAAAGACTTGGCCAAATGCAGGATCCACATGTGCCAGAAAGCCAGAGACCTTCCTCAAAGCTTCTCCTTACATACTGGAAGCAGATCATATCCATGAGACAGCTAATCAGCTGCTCACAGCAGATTCCATCATAGAGTTGATTACCAGTCTCATCATGAGCACTAACTACATCCAGCTGCCTAGCCACTCAAAACCAGGTCCAGCCAAGTTGACACATAACCCTAACTACCACAATAGTATTTTCAATATTCTTCACTAACACCACAATTCAAAGATATCAGTTCTCCTACAGCCTTCCTTATTCCTTGTCCAGCTTTCACATGCATATGAGGCAACTGAAAACATCATGTCTTAGGTCAGGTGCACCTTAGTCTTCAAAGGGACACCTTTCTCTTCAACACTTTAAAGAGGTCTTTTGCAGCAGATTTGCCCAGTGAAACACAGTATCTGATTTCTTGACTGGTGCTTCCACGAGTGTTGACTGTGGATCCAAATAAAACGAAATCTTTGACAACCTCAATCTTATCTCCATTTATGATGACAAGTCAGTTAACCATCCTAAATTTCCATTTCCACACTTAGTAAATACCCACTTTGGAGGTCAAGATGATCCCACAGGGCTCCTTGAACTTCAAAGAGACTCCCTACTCCAAGCTCTATACAGTCATTAAATTTAAGGAAGAAAGGGCCTCAGAATTGCACGGGCTGCTGAGCACACCTCCCACACTGCCTGAGCTCCCCACACCCACAGCTTTCCCACCATTCCCTGACTTATCACAGCCCAGAGTGCCCTTCACTCCTGGTTACACTGGTGACCATAGGGGACTGAGAACTCCCAAGGAATCGTGCATCCCCTAGACTCGATGCTCTCTCTTTTGAGCTCACTCCTGCTAGTCCTCATTTCAGAAGCCCTTCTTCTATGCCCTCTGGAATTGGTGGTCAGATGTCATCAAGAGAGCGTATCTTCACTCTCTCACCTGAGTACGTGGTTTCCCTGCAGCCCTCTCATGTGGGGGCTCTTTTGCACCCAAGCCACCTATACCGCTGGGCTAGGAGATGGGGTAGGTGTCCTCCTCGAGACTCCCTGTCATTTCTGGACCACATTCCTTCTCTTCTCTAAAATCCCTAATGATGCAATCAGACAACAGACCCACTGTCTCTATCAACTGCAGTCATCTACAATGTGCAACAAAACTCAAAATCATAAAAAAGGCCAGGTTTACCAGTCTGATAGAGCCTGGTAAGACCCCTGAAATGATGGCCCCTAGTTACCCTTCAGGTCTGGAATTGCATTCCCATGGCTTCTGGCCAAACAATAGACAGGCATACAGTATGAACATTTACATCAGGTAGATACGATCCTTGGAACGATCAATCATGGGAGAACAGAAGGGTAGTGTTCGCAAGGGTAGATAGCTTGAGGGGTGGGAGTGCATAGGAAAGAAGGACACAGGGAAGAGGTAAATACATGGAGGAAGTGGGAAGAGAGCTGTTACACTGTGGGGAATCGTAGTCAATGTCATGAAACAAAATGTGTATGAGCTGCTGTATGGAAAATGAATTTCTTCTGTGAACTTTCACCCAAATCACAATAAAAATTAAAGGATTCAGCCATCTATAGACCCCAAGGCTATTCTGTCCATTCCTGAAAGCTGTGGACTCATGCTTTCCAACTCTACCCATTATCATTCTTGGTGCTTTCCAACACTACCCATCGTCCTTCTTGGTAAGTGCAAGACGTATAACATCCAGGCTTTCAGTTCTCAGCTACGTCACCTCCAATGATCGCGTCTTCAATCTTAGCTGAGCCACTCCTAAGATCACACTCTTGACCTTGTCCTTAGCAACAAATGCAATGTCTCCCTAATCCCAGCTTCTGGTTTCCCACTTTCCACCAACTACCTGTACTAATACCCAAGTCCAATTCTTCACCTCACCAGGGTACACAATGCACTGAGCATACTCCGTCATTCATTCCACACATCCTTGCATCTTCCTTCATCACATTAGAATGCATGGTTCATCACTGCAGTCACTCTCCTTGAATATACAGTAAAACCTGTGAAAGCCAGAACCTATGTAAGGCGGAAACCTGCCAGAGAAGGAAAATTCAAGTATCTTCTACTAAAATGAGCAATAGAAAAGTGGTAAAACTGTACCTGTCAAAGGTGGAAAACTTGCAAGACCCAGAAAAACAAGGCAGTCCTGTCAAGTCCTGGCTCTCACAGGTTTCACTGTATAACTACCAACTTCCTCGCATCTCACCCGCTTTGTCACACATGCAAAACCACCACCTTGGTTAAACCCAATCAGGCTTGCACCCACCAAGCTGAACAGAACTGAATAAACAAATAACCATGCTCACCGGTTTCCCTCAAATTGGTACTGCTGTTGGCTGCCAAGTGGGCCCCAACTCGTGGTGAGTTCATGCACAATGGGATCCAACTGCGTGATCCACAGGGTTTTCAAGGGCTGATTTTTCAGAAATAGACTGCCAGGCCTTCTAGTCTGTCTTAGTCTGGAAGCTCCACTGAAACCAGTTTAGCATCATATCAACACGCAAGCCCCTGGCGATAGACAGGTAGTGGCTGCGCGTGAGATGCATCGGCCAGAAATCGAACTTAAGTCTCTGCAGTATAGTAAATTACCTGGTGTGGCTTGTCTAGCCATAAGTCTTCTTAAACTCTGTGGTGGAATTGGCTGTGAGCAACTGAGCAGCTCCTGATTGTGGAAGTTATCCACCTGGGGTATGTTTGCTGAGAATGACACAAAGCAATGTGCTGCAAAGTGTGGTCTCTCTCAGGTGCTTACAATTCTGATGTTATGACTGGCTACTTCGGTCACTCTGCCAGGCTCAAAAGGAGGTCTCCTAAGGCAGAGGGCTTTCTGACTGCTGGCTGAGAAAGACATGCCGCTGAGAGAAACGCGCTCCTGAGAGACATGCACTGCTGAGAAAAAGACAATGAGAGACACGCATTGCTGGGAGAGTGGCTGACAAAGACTGTTGGCTGAGAGACAGTGGGCTGAGAGAGACTGAGCATTTTTTCCTGAACTTGAATTGTAGCCTGGTGCTTCCCTAATAAACCCCATAATCTGTGAGTTCTGTGTGGCCACTGCAGTGAATTATCGAACCCAGCAGAAAGGTGGTGAGTGCTGCAGGAGGAACGGTTGGTGTCAGGGTTAGTGAAAGGGCTGCAGGGAGGCAGCATATCTGGCCTCGCAGGAATAAGCCTTGGGCTACTGATGGTGATTCTGTCTTCCTCTTGTGGGGTTAGAGGTCGGAACATGCGGCCTCCTTGCCTCTTTAGCAGTCTCCCACGTGGAAAGCAAGAATCCTACCCTGAAGCACTACTGCCCCACCCCTCAAATTACACCACCACTAAGCTCATGTGGTTCATGGTTCTTAATGCTGGTCGACAAATCTACTTCCACGGTCTAATCACCTTGTTGCCTTTTTCACACGGTGTTCTCCTCTACCTTCCAGTATTTCCTCCTCCACTCTAGCTCTTACACAAGGCCTGTGCTTATCCCTTCACTAAGAAAATGGAGGCAACAGTGTCCTCTCTCACACCTACCCACTTGATTGGACTAATACTCCTACCTTCCATCTTGCTGCTGGAACTGAATGAACTGTGCCCTTCGCTAGAACCAAAGCATCCTGGCACAGGAGAAGGACTGGAGAGTTCATGAAGGGCCTTGAGAAAAAAGACCAGTACCCTGGTGCTGGGTCACGGCTGACAACATGGTGATGCAGTTTTACAGGCTGCTAAATTTCTTTACCATCTAGATACCAAACTTGGCTGCACACACAAGAGTCATGTGGCACGATAACTATTTAAAAAAAAACTGCCCGCGAGGCCAGAGGAGTAAAGATGTATACATGAGGGTTTCCTTATAAGATGGCTGCCAGGTAGCAGGAAATTAGAGCAGAACGTTGTGTACAATGGGGTTATACTTGATGAGGTATAACGTAATATGAAAGAGAAATGCAAAATGACAACAACACTCATGTGCATTATAGCAGGAATGGGTGGGGCACTACTCCCTTGTTCAATTTAAAGATATTTTTAATGGGGGATGGATAGTTACCCAAATCCTAGAAGAGGACAACAAAATGTAAATTCTTAAACCATGGCCTGTGACAGGCACATGGTCATTTGCAGCTAAAAGTTCTGACAATCTTAACTCTTCTTTCCTCTACTAGTAAACTAAGCAAATTCAGGACAGGGTCTGTGGGATCTACCACTTTGTCTAGCTCAAGTATGACATACTATGGGGCTTGAAAAGATATCCCTTTAACATAAATCAGCAAGAAGGTAACCCGGTGATGCAGAATTGTGTGATGGTGTTAAACCTGCGTGAGCACTGATCTTTTAACTATAGTACCACAAATGAGCACACAAACACAAATACCCTCATATGTGTTGCCCTTTCTGTTGCTGTTACTTGCCATCCAGTCCATCCTAACTCAGAGCGACCCCATGTGGGCAGAGAACTGGTCCAGAGGGTTTTCATGGCTGTGAGCATTCAGAAGCTGACTGCCAGGCCTTTCTTCCAGAAGTACCACCGGGTGCCCCCCCCCCCAGGGCCTCCTTGGCCCTTTATATTTTGGCTTAAAAGTTTACAGCTGTCCTGGGAAGGAGGGGCTGAGAAAGGCAAGTAGTCTGCCTAATCTACCGAAGGGGAAACAGGTGCAGGCAGGCCGTACACAAGGGGCAGTTCTGCTCACTTACCTCACCCGCCGTGTTGGCCAAAGCAATGAGATCCCGCTTGGGTGACCAGACTAGGAAAATGATCTCCTGCGGGAGCTGCTTCTCTCCCACCACCCGGAAGGACGGGAAACAGGTCGGAAAACGCAACATGGGGGCGGCCCTGCAAGGACACCCCAACTGAGACTGGCAGCAACGCCCCGGAGAGCCCTCGGCCGCCCGGCCCGAGCCGGGTGCGAACGCCGCCTCGGCCTTGGCTCTCTAGGAGGGTTCCCGACCGCGGCGGTACCTGCAGCTTCCCCCTGGGCGGCCCACACACGTCGCCGGCAGCCTCCCACCCTCTACCGGCAGCGCGCAGAAGTCTCCAGGATCCCCCTTCCGCCGCTGCAGCCGCCGCCGCGGGCTCGGGGCACTTCCGGCGCCGGGCTTTCCTCGCGATAGGAAGGAGGCGGGCCGGAGCGGAAATGGGGACGCGGGCGCGCGGCGGGCGGCCTGAGAGGCACGGAACGCGGGTGGGAGTTGGGAAGCACCCGGCCGCCTTTGAATAATATGTTTTATGCGTGTGTACGCGCGCGCATGTCCGCAGGTCTTCCCTTGTTTTCGTGCAAGTTAGCTTTTGTGGGTGCTACAGTCAGGTTTAGGGCTGAGGCTCAGAAATAATAGGGAGAAAAGGAATGTAAATTTCAGGGTCTGGCCAGCTAGAGCCTCCTTTGACAACCTTTAAACAAGTGTTTCTCTGACCAGCTTGAAAAGACTGTCAAACAAAACCAATCTCACTGCCATGGAGTCGGATCCGACTCATAGTAACCCCTCCTTGGGTTTCCCAGACGGTATCACTACGGAAGTAGATTGCCCAGTCGTTCTTCCAAGGAGAGGCGGTTGGGTTTGAACCGCCAACCTTCTGGTTGCAGTCAAATGCCTTAGGCACTATGCCACCAGCGCTCCCTAGAGAGGTTATAAATTTTGCCCTTGTCCAGGAAACACCTCAGACCAGTTAAGAGAAAGAATGAGTTGGTCAGCCTCAGTAGGGGTCCTTGGATAGCACAAATGGTTAGAACTAGGCTAGCCAAGAGGTTGGTAGTTTGAATCCACCCACAAGTGCCTACAAAGAAAAGCCTGACACTCTACTTCCAAAAGGTTACAGCCATGTGTCTTAGCACATGAGCTCTGGTGGTGTAGTGCCTAAGGCACTTGACTGCCATCCAGAAGGTTGGCGGTTCAAACCCACCAGACACTCCTCAGAAGGCAGATGGGGCAATCTACTATCCATAGTGATACTGCCTCAGAAACCCAAGGAGGGGTCGCTATAAGTCAGGTCTGACCTGACGGCACGTAACAAGAAGACACACATGAAGTACGCCATGAGTCAGAATCAACCGGAGGGCAACAGGTTGGTTTGGGAACTGGTTTTTAATAAAAGCTTCTTTTGTGCAGCAAAGGTGAGGACCCTGCTCTAAACCTCCTTGCTAGGGCAACTACTGCTTGATTCCTTACCCTTTCAGCCCCACAACATACAGTTGTGGTGTGGGCTGTCAACGTTGATTTCAACTCATAGCCAGCCCACATGACAGTGGGTAGCTGCCCCATAGGGTTTTCTAGGCTGTGATATGTACAGAGGAGCCGGCGCAGGGGTTAAAGTGCTGTGCAGCCAACCAAAAGGTGGGCGGTTCAACCCACCAGCCGCTCTGCAGGAGACAGATGTAGCAGGCTGTTTCCATAAGGATTGCAGCCTTAGCAACCTTTTTTGGGTTTAATCTTTATGGGAGCAGATTGCCAGGTCTCACTCCCAAGGAGCTGTTAGATGGGTTCCAACCGTCAACCTTTAGATTAGCAGCCAAGCACTTAACCATTCTGCTACTGGGGATCCTACAAGGTTGTAACCACTGCCATCAAGTCGATTCTGACTCATAGGAACTCCCATTGGGTTTCCAAGGCTGTAGATCTTTATAGAAGTAGATTGCCTCATCTTCTTCCTGCTGAGCAGCTGGTGGGTTTGAACCACCAACCTACTGATTAGCAAGCAATCAAATGCCTTATCCACTATGCCACCAGAGCTCCTTATTGATGGTTGTAGGCCCACATAATGAATGATTGTGTAGGCTCATCTGGAATTAAAAAAAAAAAAAAAAAAAACCTCACTGCCATCGAGTCAGTCCTGACTCATAGCGACCCCTCCTTGGGTTTTCAAGGCAGTATCAATATGGAAGTAGATGGCCCAAACTTCCTTCCGAGGAGTAGCTGATGTGTGTGAACTGCTAGCCTTTGGTCAGCAGTCGAATGTTTTAGGCACTACTACGCCACCAGATTTACCCTACAGCTATTTCAGCATCTACTAAGAAAGAATTTGAGGCTACACAAATGCGTGGGACATGGGCTGGGTCCCAGAGGCTCACAGGCCAGCCTGGCAGAGAACATGGAAATGCTAACCCCTCTGATGCTCCTTTATGAAGGACACACTGAATTAAATGTAACTGCATGTTCAACAATCCCCACAGTCGTGCCAGGGCTAAGAAAATAGGACAGTATCTTTGTGGTTCTTGAACTTAAAATTTATGGTAGAAAACCATCTACCTTTCCTTTACTTAGTAAAGGAAAAAGAGGCTGCAGGACCTTCAACTCTCAACAGGCAGCATCTTCTTACTCCTTTCTGGCTCTAGGCCCTGGAAAGTGGGTAACGGGTAGAGTGATTGATTCAGCTGTTGCTAGATTCTAATCATGTTAGATTCATCAGGTAGCTATTTTGTGCCAGGCACTGTTCTTACCTCTTGCCTTGATGCTTACCCTTTGCTGCAAATTAGCATGTCCCCCAAATTCTTCCAAAGTCAACAATTCTAAGGTGAGAACGGATATATACCTTGGTTATTCATGAAATGCATTTTCAGGTTTTACTGCATTTTTTGGTTGGCAGATAATCTGGATGGTTGGGTGTTGATCCACCAGACATGCTGAAGGAAACCAATGCCCACTTTCCTGCATCTTCTCCTGATACAACACATGTAAAAGAATGTTAATAGGAGTATAAGCAAAGTGCACTGGATGGTCAGGAGCGAGTGTTGGTTATATGCATGTTAAGAAGTCTTCACAGAAGAGATGAGTATGAATTTTCTAGAAGGTAGGTGGTAGGGTCCAGGAAGCAGCACAGATGGGGAGTTCTGATATGATCAGGCAAGCAAATTGTTTTAAGCAGCTATGGCACAATGGTTAAGCACTCAGCTGCTAATTGAAAAGTTGCAGTTCAAATCCACCAATGACTGTGGGGGAGAAAAGACCTGGTGACCTGCTCCTGTAGATTACAGCCTAGGAAACCTTATGGGGCAGTTCTGCTGTGTCCTATGTTGTCGTTGTTGTCGTTATGTGCCATCGAGTCGGACCCGGCTCATAGCGACCCCTCCTTGGGTTTCTGAGGCAGTATCACTATGGAAGTAGATTGCCCAACCTTCCTTCCGAGGAGTGGCTGGTGGGTTTGAATCACCAGCCTTCTGGTTAGCAGTCAAGTACCTTAGGCACTGTGCTACCAGAGCTCCCGCTGTGTCCTATAGGGTCGCTATGAATTGGAATTGGAATTGACTCAATGGCACACACAACCACATAGCACCTCATGTCTGTTGGTGGGGGTTGGGAGCCAGGGAAAGCCAGTTACTGGAAATGATCCGAAGTAGCAATGGAACCAGAACTGCTCCTATGTGTTTCCAGCTTTTTCTCTTCCCTGCCACCCCATGAAGGAGTTCTTGGCTTTTCCCACTCCATTGCTTTGCCTTCCACATCCTCTGAGGAAGTCACTACAAAGCCCAGGGATCAGGGCTTTTTAAGGCAGCAAGGGTAGGGATACATTTGTACAGGATGGGGGTTGAGGAAAATGGCACAGAAAATAGGGAGACTTGAATAAATATTTCCATACTCTGTATCTCCTCTTCCTAGTATTTGGGAAAAACAAGTACAAGAAAAGAACTAACATTTTAAAAAATCTTGTTGGTTGCTTGGCTGTTCCGTTGATCACAAACCACACTCCTTGGGCTAGATCATGCTCATGATGTCTTTTTTGTTTTTTTTAAATTGTGATTTGGGTGAAAGTTTACAGAGCAAATTCATTGTCACTGACGGTGTCTTTTCTGCGTGTTAGAGTGGCACTGGGTAAGATTTGGAAGGTCCAGGCAGCTGCCAACAGAGACTTACTGGGGGGAGGGCTGACAGCAGCACACTAATTCCTTTGACAAGGAGCTCTGGTAGCATAGTGCCTAAGGCACTTGACTGCTAACCAGAAGCTGGTGGTTCAAACCCACCAGCCACTCCTCGGAAGGAAGATGGGGCAATCTACTTCCATAGTGATACTGCCTCGGCAGCCCAAGGAGGGGTCATTATGAGTTGGAGCCAACTCAACGGCACATAACAACAACAACAATCCCTTTGACCAGAGGGATAATGGATCAGAAAGGAATGGGCTGGAGGTGTAAAGACAGTAGGAAGACTGGCTAAGAGGTGGGAGGGGCAGATTCCAGACTTTTCTGAAGTAGAAAAAGGAGAATTGATTATTGACTCCATGAGGGGAATGAAAGCATGGGGATAGTGCTCTGAGGTGCACCAAACCAAAGAACCAAGCTCACTGCTATCAGGTTGCTTCTGACTCACAGCAAACCCCATCGGGTTTCCGAGGCAGTAATTCTTTATGGAAGTAGATTGCCCCATCTTCCTTCCACGGAGCAGCTGGTGGGTTTGAACCACCAACCACCAACCACCAACCTTCTGGTCAAATGCCTTTGGCACTACACCACCACAATTCCATCTGAGGTGCACAGACTCAGGGAGAACTGGTTGTGGGTTACAGGGTGGGAGGAGGAAGTGAGAGAGAAAGCTGACCAAACACAAGGAACTCAGTGGGGACTGTGTTACAGTGGATGTGTGTGAAACTCATCTGCAAGGGCCAACAGGCAGCTAGAAAGTCAGGAGAAAGGCCAGGGTCTGAGAACAGATTGGGGATCACTGTGTATACAGATGGAAGAGGAGGTTGTGGGATGGGACTAACTGAGGCCATGAGAAAGGCTGTTATGTTCGAGGCCTATCCTGAGGTCATAAAATCAGTGAAACACAAAATAAGCCAACTGACCATGAATGTGCTGGAGAGAGAAGTGAAGGCAGATGCTGGGTGTTGACTCAGA